AAGGGTCACCGGACCCGAAACGTTAACTCTGATCTTTTCTTCACAGATGCTGCCAGACCTGCTGAGCTTTTCCAGCAACTTTGTTTTTGTTGCAGGGAGACACGTTTGAGAGGACACAGGAGACCTTTCTCAAAGCTCAACCAGGAAGAGTGCACTGATAAGTTCCACAAGTTGCCATAAAATACAAATACATAAAATCCAAGGAGATCATAAAAATGACAAGTTTTCCTGACTGAATGCTATGTGGGGCAAAAGCATTTCTCACCAGATTTCCTTCAGTAACAGACAAAAAGTTATTTCTTGTAACAAAACTTTAACATAGCAGTGAAAAGATAGGATTTGGACCATTTACAACATGAACTATACTCCTTCAAACCCCAAAAGACAGACACTCAATCATGATTAAGATAGACAAATGACAGACTTTTTAACATATGTACCAGCACCAATGGGACCAGGAGTGTGCCACTGATTTTTTTTTATTATTCATTCGCTGATGAGGGCATTGCTGGCTAGGTCCGCATTGAGTGCCCATCCCTAATTGCCCAGAGCATAGGTAAAGAGACAAGCACATGTATGTGACTCCAGATCCACAGAAAAGTTTTTCCAACACTTGACAATGGATTCCTCGTCATTAAGACTCTTAATTCCAGATGTTTATTGAATTCCAATTCCACCATTTGGCATGGCGAGATTCAAACCTGGGTCTCCAGAACATTAGTTTGGGCCTCTGGATTAACAGTCCAGTAATAAATCCACAAGGTCATCGCCTTCCCAAATATGCTGCTTAATTAGGACATACTCATAACCACAGTAAACCCAGACCAAGAGAGGTTTCAAGATATCAGCGTCCCTCAAAAAATCTATGTAGAAACATCAAAACATCTCCCAAAATCAATGTAAAAATACACTAAGTAATAGAAATGTAATGCAGGGGGTATGCACATCGCAGTTATATTTTATTTACAGCATAAATACTTGGATATTGCAGTATTTAAAGGGGTATAATTTTTGCTGCTTTATAAGAAAGTGCCAGTTAGAGTCATACAGCATGGAAAAACCCTTCGGTCCAACTTGTTCATGCTGACAAGGTTTCCCAAACTAAACTAGTCCCACATCCCTTTAGACAGACAGAGGTTCACCTGCACATCTGTCAATGTGGACCACTGCATCCGCTTCTCCCAACGTGGCCTCCTCTACGTTGGTGAGACCAAGTGGAGGCTCAGAGACCGCTTTGTACAGCACCTGCGCTCTGTTCGCAACAAACGACACCTTCCAATCGCTAACCATTTCAACTACCCTTCCCATTCCCTGGGCGACATGTCCATCCTGGGCCTCCTCCAGAGTCACAACGACACCACCCGGAAACAGGAGGAGCAGCACCTCATTTTCCACCTTGGGATCCTACAACCCAATGGTCTCAATGTGGACTTTACTAGTTTCAACATCTTCCCATCCCCAGCCTCATCCCATGGGCAACCTTCCCTCTCATCCCCGCCTCCTTGACCTGACACAACCTGTCTGTCTTCTCTCCCACCTATCCGCTCCCCCCACCTCACTGACCAATCCCCACCACTGCCTACCTGCACTCACCTATCACCATCCCACCTACTTTCCCCAGCCCCACCCCCTCCTCTCTATTTATTTCAGAGCTCCCTACCCCCTCCCCCATTTCTGAAGATGGGTCCCGACCTGAAATGTCAACTTTCCTGCTCCTCTGATGCTGCCTGGCTTGTGTTCCTCCAGCTCCACACTGATTTCTGACTCCAGCACCTTTCCTATTCATGCACCTGGAAAATGTCTTTTAAATGTTCTGACTGTGCTTGCAACTACCACTTCCTCTAGCTGTTCACTCCCATATAAACCACACTCTGAAAAAGATGCCCCTCAGGTCCCTTTTAAATCTTTCTCCTTTCACCTTAAAATTATGCCCTCTAGCTTTGAACTCCCCTACCCTAGGAAAAAAGACCTTTTCTATTCACCTTGTTTATGCCCCTCGTGATTTTATAACCCTCTAAGGTCACCCCTCAATGTCCTACGCTCCAGCGAGAAAAGTCCCAGGCTGTCCAGCTTCTCCTTATAATTCAAACCCTCCAGTCCCTGTAACATCCTTGTAAATCTTTTCGGCATCCTTTCCAATTTAATAATATCCTTCCTATAGCAGGATGACCAGAACTGTACACAGTACTCCAAAACTGGCCTCACTGCAAAATGACAAAGACTGCCTGTGCAACCTTTTCCATGGCCCATGTGAATTTTACTGAACTTTAGACCACAATTAGGATGTTGCCCATCAGAGCCTTCATTTTCTAAAACAAAGACACTTTATTTTAAACTGGGATTTCTAATCTCGCCCCTTTTTCCTTTGCTATTTTAATCTTAGCTTTCCAAACTCCACTTTTCTCTCTGAAAAGCTGTTTCTTCATCTCTTTCTCTAAATTTTTAAGCTGCTACAACTTTAACTGAATCCTTGCTAACTTTGAATCAGAGATAGTAGGAACTGCAGATGCTGGAGAATCCGAGACAACAAGGTGCAGGACTGGATGAACACAGCAGGCCAAGCAGCATCATAGGAGCAGAGAGGCTGACGTTTCAGGCCTAGACCCTTCATCAGAAAAGGGGGAGGGGAAGGGGGTTCTGAAATAAATAGGGAGAGAGTGGGAGGCAGATAGAAGAGGGATAGAGGAGAGGAAACAAACAGGTCGAAGAGGCGGGGATGGAGGCCCGAAACGTCAGCCTCTCTGCTCCTTGCTAACTTAGTTGTCTCACCATCCTGAAACCGGTTCTCCCTGTATTTCCACCAGTCCCAGATGCTTTGTCAATATTTAAATTACCTGTCTCGTTGACTCTGGCAGGTAATTCCATCTCTAATTGATTTGCCAATTTCATTGACACAGCTATTGCCAGGTCTTGGAAACCTGTTATGGTAATTCATCTAAAGCAGGATGGTTTTAACAGTTTGCAATGCCATCTTATTCCAGTAAGAGAAAGCTAATATCTATTCTTTTTTCCTTACCCTCTCCATTGACTGTACATTCAATTTGATGTTGTCCTTGTTCAAGAAATGTTAGATAAAGCCGCCAAAAATTTTCTGTAGATAGACAAACAGGAGGCTGGAAGAACATGGCAGGCCAGGGAAGGAGGTGGTTAAGAGCTGTGGAATGGAGGAGGCATGGTGGAAGGTTGTCTGGATGACAGAGGGGTGAAAAGAGCATTGTTTGAAAAAGGCAGAAATCTGGGATATTTGTGGAACATCTCCTCGTCAGAGCAGATGCTATGGAGATGGAGGAATTGGGAAAACTGGACAGAGTTTTTACAGGCTACTGGGTGGCAGGTGTAGTCTTCTAGGTAGCTTTGGGAGTAAACGTTGGTCCGTAAACTGTCAACAGAAATCAAAACGGAGAGGTCAAGATGTCCGGGGGAAGGGGGTTGGGGGGGGGGGGTGCGGTGGTGGTTGGTGGGGTGTCCGAGAAGGACCAAGTGAAATTGAAGGCGGGGTGGAAGTGGTTAGCAAAGTCAATGAACTGCTCCAGTTCCGCCTGGGTGCAGGATGCAGCACTGCGTCCGTCAGTCCGTCAGTCAATGTAATGTCGGAAGAGTTGGGGAACAGTATTGGTGTACGTGCTGAAGAGGGACAGTTTGACATAGCTGATAGACAGGCAGGCATAGCTGGGGCCCATATCAGTGCTCACGGCAAACCCCGGAATTTGGGAAAGTGGGAAGAATTGAAGGAAAGGTTATTGAGGGGGAGGACTAGTTCAGCAAGGCGGAGGAGGGTACTGGTGGCGGGGAGACTGGATGGGTCTGTTGCAGAGGAAAAGACCGAGGCCGGTAGGCCGTCCTTGTGGGGTATGGATGTGTATAGGGATTGATCGTCCATAGTAAAGATCGAGTTACTAAAGAGGTGGGGGGGTGCGTGGTTTGTGTCCTGGGCGTAGGTGAGGAGTGCCTGGACCAAGGTGGGGAGAGAATGGAGTTGAGGTAGGAAGAGAGGAGTGCGGTGGGGCAGGAGCATGCGGAGATGATGGGTCGGGCTGGGGTAGTTGGGCTTGTGGATCTTGGGGAACAGGCAGAACCGGGCAGTGCGGGGCTGGAGGGCTGTAAAGTTAGAGGCAGTGGAGGGGAGGTCACCGGAAGCGATGAGGTCACGGACAGTATGGGAGACGGTGGCTTGATGGGGCCATGGTCAAGGAGGAAGTAGAATGTGGTGTTGGAGATTTGGAGTTTGGCTTCTGCGAAATAGAGATCCGACCTCTTGGATTCCAGCATCTGCAGTTTTATTATCTCCCCAAAATTTTCTGATGCCTTTTAACTAGAAAGAGTGCACTGAGAAACGTGCCCTAGTATTCCACAAGTCATCAGAAAATGAATGAAATCTGATAAGATTGCCAAAATGACTCATTTGCCTGACTGTGACTATGGGACAAAGGTAATTCATATTAGGGCTCTTCAGTAACAGAAAAAATATTTATTGTAACATATAACTTTAAAAAGAGCTGCGAAAAGAAAGGATTTCTAATTTATACAATTTAAACTTTACCCCTTCATGTTGCCAAATAACAAAATCACAAAAAAAATCACTAAGACAAACATAAGAAAAACATTTTAACAAAAATACTATAGTGGAAAAGATTGCATAGAGTAAACAAAATTCTAAGATCAAAAGTCTACAGATCCACAGAAAAGTGCTTGTCTACATGGAGGTGAAAAGAGCTTTTTCTCAGCTGTTGTGATTTTTACAATGATGAGTTGATCTTGCCTGTAGGGTGATGGGTTGTCCTTTGATTAGATAGATGACCAGGTGAACTTTCTGGTGTCAGTTCTTTCTTTTAAGCTTTCTTGCCCCACACTCTGCCTGCAGGTTCTGGATGGTTTTCAACACTGCAGCTCAACCAATCAGAAAAAAAACTAAATATTCATGGTGTGTTCATTTTCAAACTCTCCCTCTTACTGCTTCTGAAAAGCAACATTGTATTCCACAGCTCAACAATATGCACTTATTTTCAAGTTGCACAACTTTCCTTGCACTCCAGTTACAGTAGTTCAACTTCCATTTCAATCTATAGTCACCATAAAAATGAACAAAATGTGTGATGTCTTTCACATTTGACAGTTTTTAAAACAAAATTGTTCACTGCATGCGGGCATTGCTGGTTAGGCCAGCAATTATTGTCCATTCCTAATCACCCAGAGCGCAGTTAAGGGTCAACCACATTTAAGTGGGTCCAGAGAGACATGTGGGCCAGACCAGGTAAGAACAGATTTCCTTCCCTAAAGACATTAGTGAAAAAGATTTTTATGACAACGGTTACATGGTTGCCAGACTAGCTATTTATTTTGGATTTGTTTTCGATGGAAATCAAATTTCACCATCTACCAGGGTGGGATTCAAATCCAAGTCCTCAGCACATTGCTGCACGTACTACTTCAGTATCTGATAGGGTGAGCACTGAGGTTCAGAGTGTTGTGGCAGCAGTGCCCCATAATGATCCAGCAAATTTGGTTAGCAGCTTGCTTCTGGCTTGGACTGTTGCTGTGTTCTTTGGAGACAACTGAAGAAAAAAATCTTATCATCTTGACCCACTCCCAGTTATGTTGGGCTGGGAACATGTTTTAGCCTCTGACAATCCACATAGATAGCTCATTTATTTTTGGCACTGGCATTCTGGAGGTGGAATACACTGGATATGGTTGTAGTGTCTTATGTTAAATTCCTCTAAGTCCTACAGTAGTCTGTAACATCATTGTTAAGGACCTAGTCCAGAACATTTTTTTTAAATATAAATGACTAACACAACAGATGGCATCAGCATAGATGAACTCATGGGGCGTGGCCTCGACATATATTGGTATAAATGTTGAACAAGGTTGGGGCTAGCAAAGCCCAGCGGTAGCCCATTGGTCAAGTCTTCTCAACACTTAATCCAAGATCGACTAACATGTCTGCTGGGAAGGAATGTTTCAACAACCCTGAACGGAAGTTCTCCGGATTGCTTGAGGAACAGGCCAGTGTGCTGTCCTGCATTGCAGGTAACTGACAGGTTCAACAGCACTATGCCTATCTTCAGGCCCTCCTTTCTTCCTGTCCTGTGTAGATACATACATTACTGTTGACAGACAAACAGAAGGGTTTGCTAAACTCCATGGTAGAAAGGTAGCTGGCTCACTTGAACCCCTCTACCTTTGCTCACACTCCCTAGGTGACTCAGATGCAGAGGGTCTTAGGTGCATGTCTTAATGGAATGCCATATGTACGGAGCAGGAAATGTACCAATTTGTGCAGGCTGTCGGACCTGGTTAAGACCTTCCTGTAGAGTGGGCATCAGAAGGAAGGGACTCTGACCCAGAGTGATGTAGACAGCAAATTGTTTCATTTACTGGACCAGAAAGCTGCTCACTGCTGTGGGTGTTGCACCATGTTGCTGGGTTTTAACTATTGTTGTTTCAGTCCTGAATGTTGTAGCATTGACCTTGGATCCTTTACCCCAAATTTAAGAATGATGTCTTTTTCCTTCTGGGAGAGCGTGGGTACATGAATTTTTATTGACCACCTAAACCTGTAATAAAAAAATGTGAAGGAGGTTCGATGCCTTTTCTGTGCTAATTTAGTACATGCCAGTTTAAGGGCAACAGAACTTCCAATTTATCTCCACATCCCAGTTTAGGAAGGGTGAAATTAAACAAATTCCTCCTACTGATCACTACTCGCGACTCGTTGGAGGGCGAACATCAGTTGAGGACAGGATCAGGCTGAGTTGTCATTATACCAAGAAGCCTTCTGACATGTTGGTTGAGAGAGCTCAGATATTGCAGAATTCTCTTTGTGAAACTCCCACCCTATGCAAAAGCCATCCCTGCAATAGGGTGTTGGAAAATACTACCCCATATTACCTTAAGTGACTCTTCTTCCATGCAATGATGTGGAAGACAGTTGAAACAATGAACAGTGCACACAGACCCACGCCATACATCCAGGCTGTGATCTTCTTCCACCGGTCATCCGACAGTCGATGAAGTAATGTGCTGCCGACAATTGCTGGAAAAATTAGGAACTGCGGACAGAAAAAAAAAAAAACTTCAATTCAGTGGCTCTAGCTTTTTTAACATTTGAAGATTTTATTGCTTCTTTGTTAAAGGTTCCCGTTCCAGGAAACCTGTGGCAGATCATCATAGAATACCTACATAATGGGAAACAGGCCATTCGGCCCAACAAGTCCACACCGCCCCTCCAAAAGAGTATCCCACCCAGATCCATTTCCCTACCCCTGTATTTCCCACGTCTAACCCACCTAACCTAAACATCCCTGAGCACTATAGGCAATTTAACATGACCAATCCACCTAGCCTGCACATCTTTGGACTGTGGGAGGAAACCAGAGCACCCGGAGGAAACCCACGCAGACACGGGGAGAATATGCAAACTCCACACAGACAGTCGCCCGAGGTTGGAATCAAACCCAGGTCCCTGGCGCTGTGAGGCAGCAGTGCTAACCACTGAGCCACCATGATATGCAAACACTTAGACTCCTGCTATTCTCTGTACTTCAGAGATGGGAAACTACAACAGGAACCCACCAAAAATCCAACACTTGACTGCACATCAGAAAGTTAGAGGAACTGTGTGGCACAGCACACTGTGCAGATAAGCTAATTAGTTGCACAACCAAGGATTGCATAATGCTGACATGGCAGCTCCACTCAATGAGTATCTAAATTGAGAGGCAGGACAGAAACACGCAGACATATTCCATGACAGTGAAACCAAATGTGTCCAACTTATTTCCCCACGCATCTGGCTTCATCCTTTCCCTATCCTTTCCACAATTGTGGTAACATGCCTCTCATCCTAAATTTCTTTGCTACCAGCTTCCATATAAAAGGATCATTCTTTCCATTTCCTCATCTCCTACATGATATCACCAAACACATCTTGTCCTCTCCTCCCCCATCAGCAGTCGATAGGGACTATTCCCCTACCACCTTGGCCCACTCCTCTACCACTCCAAAACCTTGTCCCCCTCACAAGGCACCTTCCCTAACAACTGAAGGAACTGTAACGTATGTCTTTTACTGCCTCACTCCTCACTGTCCAAACACTGCAGCAGCAATTTACACAGACTTCTTCCAATCTATAATTGCCGCTACACTCAATGAAATCTCTGACTCTGGGAGACCAAACGCAGACTAGGTGGCCACTTTATAAAACACCTCTGCTCAGCATATCCCGGACTTTCTGGTCACTTGCCATTCTAATCCATATCTTTCTCTCTCACATTTCTGTTCTAGCTCTGGTGCAGTATTCTAGTAAAGCCCAACTCAAGCTGGGACAGGACATATGCGGGCATTTTAATGGTGAACTATTGTTTGCAAACTATAATTCCGTGAGTACAAGTATGTCAGGCTGTTGCTTAACAGCCTGTAGGACAGATCTCCCAATTTTGGCACAAGTTGCTTGATGTTAGTAAGAAGGACTTGGTACCTTGGTGAACCTTTCTGAGAAGTACATCATGTGTGGGTGAGAGGGGCAGGCCATATTAGGCTCATCTCAATAGACAGAACTGCAAATACTCGCCATGAATAATCAAAGGAGAGACTTTATGCAATAGCTTTTAAAAACCTCAGGGAGCAGAGGGTGATGGTTGAGGGATGCAAGTCAGTGTCTAGTGACACAGGGGTCAGTGTTGGGGGCCCTTGGTATATGGAGAGTTGATCAGTAAGTTTGTAGAAGATAAAGATCGGGATGGCAATTAGTGAGGAGGACATCCTTAGGTTACAAAATTTATAGAAGGGCTGGTCAGGTGGCTGATTAGTGGCAAATGGAATTCAGTTTGGATAAATGTGAGATGATGCACTTGGGGAGGACAGTCAAGGCCAAGGGAAAACATGTTAAATAGTAGGATCCTGAAAAGAACAGAGTATCAGAAGGACATTGGTGTGCACGCCCACTGGTCCCTCAAGGCTTCAGGTCAGATGGATAAAGTGGTTAAGGTGGCACACAGTATACCTGCCTTTATTTGATGAGGCATAGAGTTTAAGAGCAGGGAGATTACATTAGAACTATATAAAACGTTGGTTAGGCCACAGCTGGAGTACTGCTTGCAGTTCTTATTTGTTTGCATTTCAAAAAGAATGACCTCATTAGAGGCAGCCAGCATGGCTTTATGAAGTAAGGTATTGTTTCTCAAATTTGATTGAGTTTTTTGAGGAAGTGAAGATGATGATTGATAGAACATAGAACAGTATAGCCCAGGAATAGGCCTGTCAGCTCACAACGTTGTAAACATGACACTAAATTAAACTTATTCCTTCTGCTTGACCTCCGTCCATATCCCTCCATTCCTTGCATAGTCATATGTTTATCTAAAAGCCCCTTAAACACCACTATCATATCTGCCTCCTCCACCATCTCTTGCAGCATGTTCCAGACTCCTACCACGAAAAAACTTGACCCTCACATCTACTTTGAATTTTCCCCCTCTCACTTTAAATGCATGCCCCCTAGCATTAGACGTTTCAACTCTGGAAACCCTATCCCCAATTTTATAGACTATCAAGTCTCCCCTCAGCCTCCACCACTCGAGATAACAACCAGAGTCTTACTCGCCTCTCGTTATAGATCATACCCTCTAATCCAGACAGCATCCTGGTAAAACTCTTTGGCACCCTCTCCAAAGCCTCCACATTCTTTCTGTAATGTGGCGACCTAACCAAAGTCTTACAAAGTTGCAACATGACATCCTGACTCTTGTACTCAATTCCCCAACCAATAAAGGCATGCATGCCACATGCCTTCTTTACCATCCTATCTATTGTGTGGCCACTTTCAGGGAGCTATGGACGAGAATCCCAAGATTCTCCTCTACATCAATGCTGTTCGGGGTCCTGCCACTAACTATATACTTTTCGTTAACATTTGAACAAAGGTAGGGCAGTGAATGTTGTCTCTATGAACTTTACGAAATGAATTGACAAGAATCGTCATAGTAGGCTGGTCTAGAAGATTAAGTCACATGGCATCCATGGTGAGTTGGATACAAAAATTGGCTTGGTCATAGAAGACAGGGTGGAGGGGTGCTTTTCTGACTGGTGATCTGTGACCAGTGGTATTCCGCAGGGATGAGTGCTGGGACTCCTGCTGTTTGTAATATATGTAAATGATTTGGCTGAAAATGTAGATTGTCTGATTAGTAGGTTAATAGGCGACATGAAACAAGGTGGAGTTGTGGATGGTGAGGACAGATACAGCAGGATATAGATCAGCTGGAAAGTTGGATAAGAAATGGCAGATGGAGTTTAATCTGGACAAGTGTGAGGTCATAGCATGAGGTGATGCATTTTGGGAGGTCAAATGCAGGAGGAATGCATACAGTAAATGGCAGGATCTTTAGGAGCACTGAAATGTGGAACAATCTTGGGTGTAAGTCCATAGATCCTTGAAAGTGGCAACATAAGTGGATAAGGGGGCAAAGGAGGCATACAGCATGCTTGCCTTCATTGGTCAAGGCACAGAGTATAAAAGTTGGTAAGTCACATTGCATTTGTATAGTTAGGCCACTTTGAGTATTGTGCGCAGTTTTGGTCGCCACACACTGGATGAACCAGTTTTAGAGAAGGTGCAAAAGAGATTTACCAGGCCTGAAATGGAGTGTATTAACTGTAAGGAGAGGTTGGATAGTTTCGCTAGAGCTTTGGCAGCTGAAGGGCAACTGAAAGTAGTATGTAAAATTATGACAGGCATGGACAGGGTGGAAAATCTGAGTCTTTTTCCCAGCATGGAAATGTCAAATATTAGGGTGCATACATTTAAACTGAGGAGGAAAGTTTAAAAGGAGATGTGTGAAGCAAGGTATTTTTTTTCTTTAAACTGAAGGTGGCATGTGCCTAGAACACACCGCCAGGGGAGGTGACAGAAACAGATACAATAGCAATGTTTAAGAGGCTTTTAGACAGACATGAACAGGCAGTGAATAGAGAGATTTGAACCATGTGCAAGCAGTGGAATTAATTTCGAACAGCATCATGGTTGGCACAGACATAGTGGGCCTTTTCCTGTAAAAACCAAAGAACTGCAGATGCTGTAAATCAGGAACAAAAACAGAAGTTGCTGGAAAAGCTCAGCAGGTCTGGCAGCATCTGTGAAGAAAGAGTTAACATTTCAGGTCCAGTGACCCTTCCTCAGAACTGAAGAATGTTGCCTGGACTGGAGTTCTGAGGAAGAGTCACTGGACCTGAAATGTTAACTTCTTTTTTCCTTCACAGATGCTGCCAGACCTGCAGAGCTTTTCCAGCAACTTCTGTTTTTGAACCTGTTCTTGTGCTGTACTGTTCCATGTTCTGCAGAGTACAGGAGGGATGTGATAGCGCTGGAGAAATTGCAGAGCAGATTTCCCAGGATGTTGCCTGGACTGCAGAGTTATGAGGGGAAATTGGGCAAACTGGGGCTGTTTTCCTTAAAGCAGCAGAGATTGAGATGTATGAAATAATAAGGGACATAGATACGGTAGATGGGAAGAAGCATTTCATCTTGATGGAGGGTCCAAGATCGGGGGCACAGATTTAAGGTGATGGGCAGAAGGTTAAAGGAGTCATGAAGAAAATCTTTGTCACCCAGAGTGTGGTAGGATTCTGGAACTCACTGTCTGCAAGGGTGGCGGAGGCAGAAACCGTCATAACATTGTAGTAGTATTTAGATGTGCACTTGTACTGCCAAGGTGTACAAGCCATGGACCAATTACTCGAAAGTGGGATTAGAATAGTTAGGAGGCTGATTTTGATTGGTGTGGATGTGAAGGGTCGAAGGGCCTCTTTCTGCTTCTCCATGACTAACTCGACTGGAGCTCTCTGGCTGCCATTACTAACTCAGAATGCTGGTTCCCAAATTTCAGCTTGCTACTTGAAGTCCTGACCCTACTCTGGATTGCCGATTTACAAATTCCTTAGAAGCATGAGATGAATCTATATCTTTCTCCTTATTATCTCTTGCCTTGTACTATCAGCTAATTATCCAATCACTCCTGCACTCTGACTATCACTTGTCCCTTTTATTGTTTGTCTCTTTTCCCTTGGTTCTGTTAAACATCTCTCATCTTTCAGTTCTGTTGAGAAGCAATTGACCTGAATTGTCAGCATTTCTCTCTCCACAGTACCACCCAGATCCATTAAACATTTCCATCAGCTGCTGCTCAGCTCAGGTTCAGAGCTTGAGTAGCATCACAACACTGAACATTGTTCCACCAAGCAGTGTCTGTAAAACTGTCAGCCCTGCTCCCTTTCCCTTAATCTCTTTTACTTTAGTTTTCATGACAACTATACTCTCACTGACCAAGGAAAGGAGACACTAGTGCAATAGTCAGCTATAAAGAACATCAAAAAGGAACTGTTGTCTTGCATCTCCAACAGTCTTCCTGCTTCCGCGCCAGTGGTCAGAACTTTTTCTGGTTTGATTGCGGTTTAGTGGTCACGCCTGATACATACCGGCAATGAAGTTATTTACTACTCCCAGTCAGGACAATATCCTGAGCAAAAACACAATCATCCCCAATTTGAAAACTCAAGCATAATAGAGTCATGGAATCATGCAGCATGGAAACTGAACCTTCAGTTCAACTAGTCCGCGCTGAGTATGTTCCCAAACTAAACTAGTCCCACTTGCCCGTGTTTGGCCCATATCCCTCCAAACCTTTCCTACTGGCTTGATGGATTTATTTTTGACTGTGGAACATTAGGTACATTATCCAAAGCAGTCAGTCAGAAAATTGTAGGTTCAAGTCTCACTCCAGGCACTGTAGGTAGGCTGAAACACCCCAGTACAGTTCTCATGTAGTGCTACAAAATCAGACATGCTGTGTTTCAATGAAATATTAAACTGGGACTAGAACTGCATTTGGTGACCTCAACAGAAAATGTCCTTAGGTATTGGTGCTTGCGTAATTCTCCCTTTCCCCTCTCTATCACTCCACATAAAAACAGAAGTTTTGGAAAACTTACGGCATGTGTGTAACAGTTGGCAGCATGTTCGTATGCAGTGGGCTGGTATCGGGAATTAGCTGGAGGTCGGTTATTCATAAATCTATAAAGCAAGCAAGAGTTTATTAATGCAATAATAAAACCAGTCAAACAAGTACTCCATTTTCAGGGGGAGCTTTGATTCAGTTAAGCTTGAATTAATCAAAAAAAACTAGCCCCCACCACGGTACTGCACAGAAATTCTTTTCTCTATCATTAGATACTGATTCTGGAGCTGTACTGAAACTACAGATCCAATGCACCAGATAGTTAGAACCAGACATTCAAACCACCTGAAGCAACCAAATATTCAACTTAGACAAGTCAAGTTATGACTAGACATCTTACTTTGACCATCCATGCTTCCTCGCCATGACAATCTGTGTTGAAACTGTATAGAGCTTCTTTGTAAGAAAGCAGCTGCTTTCTCTTCACCACAATATAATTCTTTCAAAGAACAGAGACATCTAGTTGCAGGTCTTTTCCACTTCTGATTTAGCACTTAAACTGCATTTCTGTCATTCAGCTGTTAAACGAGTAAGTTTAGTGTGCAACATACTAGCATTAAAAAGATGACTTCCTGATTCAATATCTATTTTTAAAAAAAGGAAGTTAACACCCAGTGAAGGTAAATCTAGACGGTTATCACCACCCACAACAGTTCTTCCATTCACAGCTATTTTATGTTAAAACATATCTTCCAAACATATTAGTGATTAAACTCTGCACCCAGTGAGCGCAGAACTCCAGTTAATCTCAACCTTATCCAAACATGTGAAGTCCTAACAATTGCTATTGTGTCATTTTACAGAACTTCAATGGATCAAACTGTTCTAGTCAGCTAACATCAGTAAAAAAATGTGTGGATTATCTGGCCATTAATTCTGTGTTGTTTATGGGACCCTATTTTGAGAAAGTCAGTTGCTCTGTGTGCCTGCATTGCAGTGATTCCACTTCAACGGTACTTTGGGATACTATGAAAGGCAATACATAAAAAAACTTTAAGAACAAAATGTGCATTTAAGAAATAATTTTCACCGACTTGTTCTATACTAATCAGCACCAACCAAAGGGGATCAGAATGAGCCAAACTGTTAAAACTATGGCTATCTGCATATGGCTAATTTAGTTGCTAAGACTTTACTCTTGTTTGCGAATAAAGTGTCAAGGCTCCTCAACAAGTGTGAAGCTTCAACCTGAAATCTAATCAAGTGGTTTGGGGAATTTACATACAGAATAAAGGATATCCAAAGTGGTTCAAGAAAGCATTTCACCATCACTGTCCCAAGGACAACTGAGGATAAGCAATAAAGGCTAGCTTAGCTAGCTCTGCCACCATCCCGTGTAAGAATGTTAAAAAAAAAACAGGAGTGAGTTAAGGTTGCAATCCAAGCCAGGTGTTTGGCTGAATTTATGGATAAATTGGACGTCTGATAGCTAGGTCTTACCTACTTCTTATTGTATTAGTGTCCATACGGACTAGAGAAAGTTTCACATTCATATCAGTTTTTGTGAAGTATTTGGCACTACAGGGATTGCGTGACTGTGGGAAGATGATGCTCATCTTAGGCAACAATTTAATTCAAGCCCATTAAAGAAACAAGCCCAGGCACACAATGAACTGTGGTGTTGCCTGGATACCGATTCCGCATGCCTAAGCTGCAAGTCACAAGACCAACCTAATATCAAACACTGAAAATGTTTATAAATAAATCTAACTGCCAGCATTTTAGGTTCCAATGCTGCACGGGCACATGAATTTTCAACTAGGTGAAATTACTGGGAGACTCAAAATAAATTCCAGAATAGTCCAACAAGTAGTACAATGGTTTACTGGTTTAGTATAGTCCCAATCATGGAATTCAAAGAGTAGAAAGGTCTCAATCTGATTCCCAAAAAGGGGGTTGCGAACAATTAATCTTTACAACTAAAGGCAAAGTGGAAAAAGAGAGAAATTGAAATGGAGAAAGAAAACTGAGACAAGCTACATTTGAAATATTAGGATAGAGTTGGGAATCCGAGAATAATTTGTTCGTCAGCTCAAACGGTGACTCTATATTGCTGAAAATAAAGATACTCAAAATTTTGAAGTACTTCATTATTTCAAGGTATTTTGAGGTATACCTCAAAAATCTAAACAGGCTAGGTAAACTATTTCATGCTAATGTCTTGGCTACGCATGTGTTTCTTTCCACTATCAGGATGTTGTCAGTCTAAAAGGACGTGCTGCCTACCACACAATCGAGCAAGACCGTGTATGAATTTCAGTGTCAGTTCAATGCTTGGTATGTAGACAGTATCTCTCAGTAACTGGCTGATTGAATCAAGCAGCCTGCTTCTTCAGTAGCTCATAACTTAGAGTACAGATTGCACTCAACCAGCCTATACTCGCTAAACACAAACAAAACATCCACTGATGCATATGATTCTGCACTTGGGTAGAACTTGCTTAACAACCATGAGCGTATTAACAATCAATTTACAGTAAATCAGTTGAGCTTGTAATGTTTAGCTTTAAAAGAAGTGGTCAAAGCTTCAACTCCAGGTAGGTCAGTCCTACAGCTCTATCAATTTTCTTACGATCATCTTTTAAACAGTGGTGAAATTTAACATGAATAATTTAAAGTTGAAAAGAATGTACTAGGCAAATTATATCAACAATAATTGTAAAAATTTCAGATTTTCTTTTACATTGCACCTGTATTCAATATTGGGAGTAAAGAGGATCCAGATGAACACATGCACTATAAGTGGTGAACAGCTTAAATGAAACAGCTGGACACTATCTGGGACAAAGCAATTGACTTGATTGGCACCTAATCCACCATCTTAAACATTCACTTACTCCACTCCTGACACAGTGGTAGCAGAATGCAAGGTGCACCACAGCAACTCGCAAGCCACCTTTGACAGCACCTTCCTTTCAAATCTGTGACCTCTACCACAGAAGGACAATGGCAGCATATCCATGGGAACACCATCATCTGCAAGTTCCCCTCCAAACTCCATGCCATTCTGACTTGGAAATATATTGCCATTTGTTCACTCTCGTTGGGTAAAGTCCTGGAACTCCCTCCCCACCATCACTGTGGATGTTGCAACACAACTCACCACTAATTTCAAGGTCAAGCTGGGATGGGCAAGAAATGCTGCTGTAGCCAGTAATACTACATCCTATGAATGAATAAAACAGCAAAGCACTTAGAGAGAGAACATAATGAATAAGAATGAACAAAAGGAGACAAAAATTAGGAGAATGCATTGTTGCAAATTCTAATTCTCTCTCGTTCTATGATCCATGTTAACTGGTTATATGTATCAATGCTCTGCAGCAAGTTACACAATCCGTCAGCTCATAAACCAGTTAAACAGTTAAGATACAGAATCAAGAACAGACTACAAAAATGTAAAAGTTTTGCTCAAAAGTATGGTGCACATTTAGCTAAATAACAGATTTTTGTATGCAGTATGTCGGAACACTAAGAACTCAAGCAGAATCAGGATCATATTGCTACACAAGTCTGCTCCACTGTTCAATAGATCATGATTAATCTGATCTTGGCCTCAGTCTTACTTCCCTGCTCCCCATAACCTTGGACTCCCCTGTAGTTCAAAAATCTGTTGACTCAGCCTTCACTGTTCTCTGGGGTACAGAATTCCAACATCCTCTCAACATCTTTCCTGCTAAGACCAGCAAGAGTCTTGCGTGTTTCAACAAGATCACTTTTCATTTTTCTGTGCTCCAATAAGTATAAGAACTTCATAGGTCTGCTTGGATTGAATGCAGGAAGATGATGTTTCATCTTATATGGCAGACTAAAACAAGGAAAAATAGCTTAAGAACAGAATAGTTTAATTCTTTGAAGAGGTGACCAAACACGTGGATGAAGGTAGAGCAGTGGATGTGGTATACATGGATTTAAGTAAAGCATTTGATAAGGTTCCCCATGGTGGGCTCATGCAGAAGGTAAGGAGGCATGGGATAGGGGGAAATGTGGCAGATTGGAGTCAGAATTGGCTGACCCTTAGAAGACAAAGGGTGGCAGTGGACGGAAAATATTCAACATAGTGCTCAGTTACGAGTGGTGTACCACAAGGATCTGTTCTGGGTCCTCTTCTATTTGTGATTTTTGTAAATGATTTGGATGAAGGAGTGGAAGGGTGGATTAGTAAGTTCGTGGACAATACACTTCGGAGGGCTGTTCTAGGTTACAAAGGGACATTGATGGGATGCAGACCTGGGCTGAGAAGTGGCAGATGGAGTTTAACCCTGAAAAGTGTGAGGTGATTCATTTTGGAAGGACAAACTTGAAAGCAGAATACAGGGTTAATGAAAAGATTCTTGGCAGTGTGGAGGAGCAGAGAGATCTCGGGGTTCATATCCACAGTTCCCTGAAAGCAGCCACCCAGGTGGATAGAGTTGTTAAGAAGGCATATGGTGTGTTAGCTTTCATTAATAGAGAGATTTATTTCAAGAGCCGTGAAGTTATGCTCCAGCTATACAAAACCCCGGTTCGGCCACATCTAGAGTATTGTGTCCAGTTCTGGTCACCTCAGTACAGGAAAGATGTGGAAGCGTTGGAAAAGGTGCAGAGGAGATTTACCAGGATGTTGCCTTGAATGGAGGGAAGGTCTTACGAGGAAAGGTTGAGAGCGCTAGGGCTTTTCTCTTTAGAACGACGAAGGATGAGAGGTGTACAAAATGATCTGAGGTATAGATAGAGTGGACAGCCAGAGACTTTTTCCTAGGGTGGAGGTAGCTATGAGGGGGCATAGTTTTAAAGTGAGTGGAGGTAGATACAGAGGAGACGTCAGAGGTAGGTTCTTTACTCAGCGTGGTCGGGGCATGGAATGCATTGCCGGAGAGGGTAGTGGAGTTGGCCTCATTAGGGGCATTTAAGCGGCTATTAGATAGGCATATGGATGATAGTATAAGGTAGGGGTGGAGGTTAGATAGACCTTAGGATTAGGGCAAAAGTTCGGCACAACATTGTGGGCCAAAGGGCCTGTACTGTGCTGCACTGTTCTATGTTCTATATTCTAACAGGAGGTCTTTCTTTTAACACAAATGAGGGTTATTATTTTCTTATGGAGGGTTATTAAGTGTGGAATTCCTTTTCCCAGAAAAGAGTGGAGGCTGGGTCTTGAAACTTATTCAAGCCTCAGTTAGATTTTTGATAGACAACGCCATCAAGGGTAACGGGGAGTGGTTAAGACCACCACCAGATCTACCACAATCTGGTTGAATGGCTGGAAAGGCTGAATGGCCTATTCCTAAATCTTACATTGCTTGGAGTATATGCTCAACCTTTCCTCACAAGACAAACCCTTTAATTTCACTATAGTCTAGAAAAACCATCTCTCAACAGCTTTTAACGTTAGTTTATCCCTGCTTAAAAATGGCCAAATCTGGACATAGAATTTAAACAGAGTACTATTACAAAAGATCTGAAATTGAAAGTCATTCTCAGGAATCATTACCGT